ATTTCAGATTCAATGTATGTTGGCAATTTATTGGTAAATTAACAAAATCAAAATAAAATGAAAGAACTGAAATCTCCAGTTAGGACTAAAGACAAAGGGTCAAAGTGCATGAGGATAGTTTGGTCTTATGGGAAGACCAGTAAAACTTTGATTCCCTTAGTAGAAACTAATATGAAGTAGAATAAGTATAGGGGACAAGCAGCTAGAGGCATCCCAATATGTTATACACAAAATGCAGACAGATAAGCAAGCCCTTCACAAAACTGGATATCACTGACATATTTGCATGCTGTTGTTTCTAAGTTAAGATATCCACAAAGAGTGCAAGCAAATGTAATTCAATTTATCATAGAATCATAGAATAGCTCAGGTAGGAAGAGACCTTAAAGATCACCCGATTCCAACCCTCCTTCCATGTTCAGGGATGCTACCCACTAGATATATTCAAGACATACTATTATATTACTCCCCAAAAGAATGTGAGTTCCACCTATGTATAAATAGTATGTGTTGTAGTTATGTATATATACACATGATGACTTGCCTCATGTGCCCTCTGTTGCTCTAAAAGGCTCTGGTAGTTTCCTGAAATCTCTGCTGCCAGCTTCTGCTCAGTCTGAACTAACAAATCCATCCAAGTTTCACACTTCTCCAAAAAGGTTTGCTTCTGCAGCAGGAAAGACTGCAGCTTACTGAAAGGAAGAAAGAAAGAAAGATGGATTCAGGTAAGGTCTCCTGCTCTCTCACATAGTATTGACTCTTGTAGTAAATTTTCCAGCAGAAATCTAAATCAGATAGTATTGATTTTACCATGCAGCTGCATCATTTAATCTATCTATACAACACTAAAAAGAACCAATCTTCCTTATTTCAAATTCTAATTTATGGCAAAACCACCATCTCAACTCATTGACTTCTATCTTTATTCATGAGTACACTAAAGGAAAGGTGCTTTGGTTAATGAAATATCTGAAATATTTTTTATACTCTGCAAAAGGCATACTTTCTAACTATTGTAATATAAGAAAACTATACAATAATCTTAAGATATCCCCACCTGAATCTTTCTGTAGTCTGAGATGAGATGAGAGACCAGTGTCTGTTCAGATTCTGCATCCTTTTGATTTCTTTATCATTCAGAGGAAGTCTGTAACCCAGCTCATTAAGACGGTCCAAATCTGGGGCCATGCTGCTGAACTTCAACATCTGGCTCTGCAACAAACAATAGAGCTGATAAGCAAGAAGTTCAGTAATTACACTACTATAGACTAAGCTAGCACTCAGTTAAATTTGGAATGGCCTTGGTTGCCACCAAGTGGCAAACAATCCCTATGCCAAGGAAAGACTTTATTTCCAGTTTTCAGTCTCTTTGGTCCAAGTCTAGAAGAAAACTTAAACAGAAACAGAGAAGTAAACTCAAATTGCACTTACATATATTGCTGAACTAGAGATTTACCTCTCAGAGCTGCAAAAATAGGCTAGTGCTTGAAGCTACATGTCTATCTTGCCAAGAAAGTGAGCCTTTTTTCGTGTTTACTAAACTCAATGTTAGGGTAGTATACCACATTGAACATACTCACTTGATTTTACTATTATTATTATTATTATTATTATTATTATTTTCTTTTGCAGTACAGAAATGTCCAAATCATCATTAAATTAGGAAAAAGTGCTATGCTTGTTAGCATGCACAGTGGAAAAACATGTATAGTTAATCCTGAAAGAAAAATAATTGAATATTAAAATGACAAAAACAGCCTAGGTGGCAGAGACAATCAACTTCCTGTCAGGGCCTCCAAAAGAAGAAGAAAGATAATAAATAAATAAATAAATAATAAAAAAAAAGCAACACAAAAAGAAAGAAAAAGAGTTTAAATGTATATTATAGGGTACATAGTATGAATGTTTCAGTACTCTTCAGTACATCAATATATCCAAAACGTGTAGATGATTTGGTCCTTAAGCTGCATACATTCAAAAAAAAATGAGAGAAAATAAGATAAAGGAACTCCAAAAATTGCTAAATTTTCCACTCCTAATTTGATTTGATATTCATTTAATCCAAATCCTTTGTTTTTCCTTTTATTCTTTACTCAGGAGCAGAATAACATGGACAATCAATCACTACCTGACTACCATCAAACATCAAATTTCTCAGTCCTATGCTTCCCACGAGTGACAGTTCTTTAATATGTATAGAGTAATATTTGTGCATACCCTGTGCAAATTAACCAGGCCAATGTAAAAAAATGAACATTTTGTGTATTTATTACTCACTTTGAGTTCCTCCATCCTACTCTGTATTGCTGAGAGATCAGATGAGTGACTAGGATCCTGTCCTTTCAGTATTTCTTCTGCTTCTGTTATCCAGACCTCAAGGACTTGCAGGTTCTTGGCAAAGGTTTGATAGTCCAGGACTCCAGCCTTGAATAAAAAAGAACCCATGATTTAGGAATTTAGCCACATAGCACCCTTCTGGTAGTTATGCTCCTGATTATTCTCATTATAGATTTGCAAACAGAAGTATACGCTAGGAACAATTTCAACTGTTGCTTTGTTTACAGACTGTGGATATAGTGTTTATTATTATTATTATTTATTTTCATTATTTTTATCAAGGGGCTTTTGCTGTAAAGTCCACACCAGGTGAGAAAATGGGATTTTTCATCATAGCAAAAGGGCAGCACTTCAGCAAAATATTAAAAGACCTTCTTGACTTAAAATACACAGCCTGCTCTAACTTCCTTATATAAAATACTCCTCTGTTTATTGTGCTCTGTCAATAAAAAGAACCACCAGTTTCTGTTGCAATTTCAAATGAAAAAAAAATCTCTCCTTACATTAATGAGCACATTCTTGATGACACTAGATTTCTTAGACAACTCCACTTGTCACCCAAACAGAAGCCACTGCCTTGTTGCTTTCTCATCCACGCACTTCCATGCCCTATGAAACACATTCTGACACTCTTTTTCTACTCTTTAGTCCCTAGTGACACATGCATCAATTAGCAAAATGTGACATACAAGCTTTGACACAAATAGTAGGTGTCAGTATGGTCACTGACATTATTAGGAACTGTTAAAATCCATGATACACAATTGTTTGGAATCTTCTCTCCTTTGTTTTACCACTAAAGAACAAGCTGGGAAGAGAGGTTGTCACTGGGGAAGCAGTAGCTGTGGATATAGTCATTAGCATTATTGCTGTCTGCACAAATGTTGCCCTTGGCATTCCAGATGGAAACATTCCCCTGTGAGGTTTGCACATTCTCTTCCAGAAAGTGGAACTTCTTACAAGGTCTCTATACTGTACTTGAACTTTTTTTTTTTTTTTCCTTTGGCTTTCAGGGAAGATTGGGAAATGCAGATGAACAGGTAGCACCATCTTCTTTACCCAGGTATTTTTGGCTAATTGCGTTTTCAAGTACAACAAGGTGATTGGATGCAGGAACTGAAAACACTCTTTGCAATACCTGAAGTACTGTTTGCTGCTTGCGGAGAATTTGTTCTAGGGTTGACAGATTCTGGTTCAGAGACAGTTGATCAGACTGTATAGCTGCTGCTGCTGAAGCCTCCACCTGGCTTTTTAGCTCCTCTCCCAGTTCTTGAAGAACAATCAGTGAATCCTGTGTTGTCTTTAAATCAACGAGTAGATCCTGTGGCAACACATTGAATAAAGATAGGAATAGTTAATCTGACACTCAGTTGATGCCATCCTCCCTGATATGTAGAGAAATGAAATCAGTAAGGACCACTACTACATGAAGAATTTATATTTACTACTGTATTTCAATGCCAAAGTGCCCACTGTCTCTTTGCATAAAAAGGAAATGATATGCAGAATAAAACATATCTTGAATTACTTATGTTCAGAGGAACAGAAAGAAGTGAACACTCAGCTGCCATTGAGTAAACTGCTGTTACTGATGAGGCAACACTTGTTGAAAAAAACACTTTCGATTTAGTGACATGCTGCTCCTAAGCAGTGGCAACTCTACCTGTAGGTTGCCACAAGGCAACATGATCCCTAGATCTCCTTTTTTTATTTTTAATTTTAATTTTTATTTTTTCTTCTTGTTATGAATTACCAGGATGGATTAAAAACTAACTTTTGCAAATTGCGTAATGCAATTATCTGACTGAAATATTTGAGTTGCCTGTCCAGCAGACTATGGCAGCAAATGCTCAGAATGCTCATTAATGTGTTAATTTTTTGCCTTGCAATTGTTTTTCTTACCCTAAGACAACTGCCATTTCAATTTTCTTATCAAGGACACTTAACATTAACTTGAACTCAAACACACCAAAACATAACCACATAACAGGAGACAAAAAATCCTGCTTCTCTGGGACACAGTATCAAAAATAGAGGAATCTCAAGGTTCCAGAGTCAACACTGTTCCTCCATGTGGAAGGATAAAGCCACCAAGAACACACACACAGTCTTTTTTCATTCAGAAAAAGTGACCAGCCTTGACATCTGGAAATATAGACAAAGGATCCTGTTTCTTTCTACTATAAGGAGCTCAATGGATTTGGCAGAGATTCTTGCCTAGCAAGAAATACTTTGATAAGCAAGGACTGAATCAAACAATAGAATTTATCCACCTTCTCCAGAGAGATTACTTCAGATAAAAGCAATATAACACAGCAACAAATAATAGAGGGATCATATAAGTCCAAGATAATCATGAGATTTGGGTAGCAGACATGAAGCTGTCTCTCCTGCACATGAGAGATGCTTCAATAAAAAGAAAATTTCCAATACACCAAATATGTAGTTTAGTAATGTAGAGCCTGTTGAGATTTTTAGCTCACAGAGCTGTTGTATAGTGCAAAGATTAAGTGAACATACATTGCAGTCCTGAATCCAAGCAGTTACTTCATCATCAGCAATATCTTTACTGGTTGCAGTCTTCAACAGTTCATTGATTTGATCTTCTCGTTTACGGACTGTTGAAGAGCATTGTTGGTAACAGTCCTTGTATCTCTGCCACAGCTGAAGGAGACCCTTACTGGAACGCAGCCGCTCTGCAATCTCCTGAAGAAGGTTGTTCCACCTGGTAAAGAGATTGGATGAATGATCAAACCTTGGTAGCTCAAAAGAACTACACCTGCCCCTCTTCCTCACTGTTGTATCCATTGTCTCTGCCCTTCTTCCTCAGTGCTGTTTCCTGTGGTCTTCTGTCTTTTAAGAAATTTTATAATAATAATCAAGATTCAGACATTAGGAGAAAAAAAAGGAATCCAAGAAATATGTTGACAGGATGTTCTGACCTGTGACACCAGGTTTGATCTGTACTGCATCTTGGATGCTGCATATTAATATTTTAGGTCAAAGCTGGAGTACACTTTTTGAAGTGAACCTACTGCAATTCCCACTTAGCACACCTTGGTTCACCACACAGCAGACATAACTGGCCAAGAACTGCCAGCCTCAAATTTAATCAAGGGCCTGAAAGGCCCAGAACAGGTGTATATATGAAACCATTTCTTCTGCTGCAGTTTCCTCCCAAAATCTCACAGAATCTTTAAATTCATAAAGCCTCGTAAAATTAAAATACTTCCAGGTTTATTAAAGCTCTAATAGGTTCATTATCCAATTAAATGTCTAATTCCTCTTTGAATTCTTAGCTTTAGTGGCACCCAAAACCAGCTGCTTTCTGAAATGTACTGTGTTTATCAAATTTTCTCATTATTTCCTTATCAAAGAAAAATCACAGCATTTTCAATTGTTACTATATGATAAAATTATCTCATAAAGTGAAAACCTTGTCAGTCATCACTGAGACTTAAATCATACAGTATCTTATCATAGAATGGCTTAGGTTGGAAGGGGCCTTAAAGTTCATCCAGTTCCAACCCTCCTGCCATGGGCAGGGATACCTTCCACTAGACCAGGTTGCTCAAAGCCCCATCCAACCTGGCCTTGAACACTTCCAGGGATGGGGCATCCACAGCTTCTCTGGGGAAAAGGTCTTCTCCCCATGTTTCCAGTTTCCAGTACAGGACGAACCAAAATGAGTTTGGCATGATTGCGTTTTCAAAAACAGACAAACAAACAAACAAACATACAACCCCTCAAAACCAAATACAACAGTATTTCTACCACAGCAGTTTTTGATCTTGGATCAATCAAATCCTTCTGTAGCTTCTCTGAATAAACCTTCAGACTTCTATGGCCTGGATTCAATGTTGGGGAAGTCGTTTGCCAAGCTACTGGCAAAACCTTAGATCTTAGATAGAAAAGTCTATCATGCTCTTTCTACAGCTAGAAATTGCAAGCTGAGTACTGGAGAAACTAAGACATGCACAGCAATTTTCAGACAGAATTCTTGCATTTTAAGTGCAGTATTATTTTCCAGGACAAGAATTGTCATGGTTGCAAATTTCCCTGCAGACATGCATGGAGCAAAGCTGCTGACACTAATGATCCAAATCTCTTGCTGGAGAAAACATTTATTTTATTATTACTAGTAAAATAACACACTTCTGCTCCAGCAAAAGGAATAAAATAAAAGAATACATAAAATATAATAAAAATAAAAATGATGGAAAATCGAGTCCACAGTTAAATGCAAATCTACCACTGAAAGTACAGTTCAACATAAACACACTTTCTACCTCATATTCACTTCCTTCAAAGTGGTGGTAAGTGTTTCAGTCACTGGTGGGTGACATTGTTTTAACAATTGATTGGTCACTGAGCCAAATTTCTGTAAACTATTTTCTTGCTTTTCTAGTTCATCCTGTAGGCTCTGAAATAGAAGAAAAAATAATGATACACAAACTATTATAACTGTATGATGTAGAAACATTTCAAAATGGTATGTATCGATTGCAGTAAATGGGTTATGAAAGCAAAACTAGATTTCATGTGTATTGAATCTAACTAGGAAGTTTTTTAATATAAAGACTATTGCTAGATACACTTGATTCAATATCCAGGTGTAGCAAAAAGTATGTTTTTAACCAAAATTTTCCAAATATGTAAAAATTTTGTAAAAGAAATTATCCTAAGCAAATACTTCTGTACTGACAGAATAAGTGCATGGAACTCCCTCAGAAATAACACATTAACTGCTGTAAGATATTAAATTTAATGACTTTTTCCTGTTCAGACTTAGATGAAAAAGTAACAGCATAAAAAAGCTTTATTCTAAAAAGAAGGTTCTTTTTCACTTAACAGACTGAAGTATTGCTATCAGGTAAAATGTTCCTTTTTTTAAAAAAAAAAAAAGTATATATATATTTAACTATATTATTGCAGTTTGAACAGTTCAGCAAATCTCAACCTGATTAATCAATATACACAAAATAAGTAAAAAAGGGCTTTTTAAAAACAAATAACAACAAACAACAACAACAACAACAAAAAAAAACACAACTTATCCTTCTACTGACTCCTCCTGTCTGATATGTAGAAAATGAAAACATGGAAGAGTACCTGTAAAGTGTATATACGTTCTTTAAATCTTGATTTGGAAAGTGAGGATTATGCTTAAGGCATTTGGCTGTATATGTCTGGACATGCAATCACACAGAGTATTTACTTTTAAGGAAATTGCTTTTTTTTTATGTAAACTAGATCCACAGATATAATTTTATAAATGCTGTCTCAGTGTGTAGAACATTAACAGGTCAAAATGTAAGCAACAACACAAAAAATCTACAAATGAAACAATTTTACCATTTTAGTTAGTTAGTTAGTTAAACGAAAAATGTAATGGCTACTTGATAAAGTGCCCTCTCAACGTCATAAGATTTTAATGTGCCGATACACCTGTAGTTTCATTCATTATCAGCTAAAATGTACATGTATTGCATCCATGCAATAAGGACAACATTTATCCTGAAATCCATCCTCAGTGTGGCAAGAGGCATGGTATTCCTTTTCACCTGAAGGTTATCAACTTGGACTTTCACAGCTTCCAAAGAACCAGTAAGGAGATAGAAACGGGACAGAGAATATCTGGCTTCCATCAGGTAACTGTTCAGTTCTTCATAAGCCACTTTGTAAATGCTCCACTGATCAAGAACAGATTGCAACAATATCTTTAGTTGGCTGACCTAGGAAGAGGGAAGGAGGGAAAAAAAAAAAAAAAAAGGCAAATGAAAAACATTCAAGGGGGTTGCTTTTGTTTAAATTATTTCCTTCCTTTTGATCTCAGATTCTACTTGTTCTTCATGCAGAACTTTAAACTTGTTGGAGAAAGAAGAGAACATTTTGCCCTACCATCAGCTAGGCTTACACTGGGTACAGCAGAAAGGTCTGTTTGATTCCATAAAGCCACAGAAGACCAGTATGGAAGGGACTGGAAAGATATTGAGTACATTCTTTGAATGTACTCAATATCTTTGAGTACATTTGAACCATACAAGGTTCAAATATCTTTGAACCTTGCTTTGAAGAAGGTTCAAAAGCAATTTCTTGACTCCTTAAGACAGGCAATCGGCCTCTCAAATCCAAGAGAGGCTAGTGCTACAGGAGAGGCTAGTTCTAACACACTGCATTCTTCCTGAGAATATGGACTAATGCTACCAAGGTTCAGATTTCAGGGGATGACAATTGAAACTGATCTCTTCCTCAGTTTGCGTGACCCATATGCTTAAAAAGGTAGTTACTTATGGATCGTTCAGTACTTTTCTACTACGTATCAGCATACAAAAAGCTTGAATTTTAAGAATGTAAAACAGATTCTGTGATTCTGTGATCCTTAAAATAGTAAATTTTATGTACACACTAGCTTGAAGATGGATGAAAACAGAGACACAATTCAGAATCTCTTCCCATACAACACAGAATAAATCCACTAGCCGCAAACTGCTAATTCTTCTGCTGCATGTTCCAATTCCTGGAACTATGGTTTGCCCTTTGATAATTGTTTTACCATGTGATCCAAGTTGGCCCAGGCATGGTTGATTTCTTTCAGTGTATTCATAACAGTAGAAGAGACTTCTTCCTTCTTGTTCTGTATCAAAGACAGGCCACTTTGTTCTATGTTTTCTACTTCTTTTTCTTTTGTTCTTATTGATTCTTCTAATTCCTTAAAATAAAAATAAGACACCTGAGTATTTTTGTTTGTTTACTTTAATGGATAATGACTTGAGTCAGTAAAGATACACATAAGCTCCCCAGTTTGTACAATGTTAAAAATAGGAAAGGCAAACTTGTGCACTTTGTCTTTTTATTCTCAAGAGGATTATAACTCATCAACAATTTTCTTGAATATTTTATCTTCCCTTTAAATCACAGTTGCATATCTTTAATTTAAATAGAAGTATGTTATCTACATTAAAACTCTGTTGTAACCAGCTGCTCTCATGGAAGAGTACAAAATTAATTAAAAATAGGCTAGCAGTTTGAATACATGGGAAAATTGTTGTGTTGTCTTAGTTTGTCCCAGCACACAGAGGGCTTTTTAATTAGCCCAAAGTTGGCTCAAGCCCCTGGAAAAACTGAATTTTGCCACCCAAAGGAAAGGACAAAATGATTTCCTAGGGAAAGATGTCAATTTGCTGTGCCTCCCAAAGTGGAATCTTTATTCTTTTGCCAGATCCCAGCAAAGCCCCTTGCCTGAGGACATCAAGTCTTCCCCTTTTCTAGATGACAAGCTCACTGGACTCCAGCCAATGATAACAAGCAACAGACTGTAGGAATTTTTTTTATTGCCTCCACAAGGTTATACGTTGTTGGGAAGTATTATTATGATTGAGTGGGTGGCATTCGTGCCCATGGCAGGGTGGTTGGAAGTAGATGGTCTTTAAGTTCCCTTCCAACTTGAGTTATTTGATAATTCTATAATTAACAAGCTCTATAACATTTTGCTCTACTCAGCATTCCCCCACACTAACCCAAGAAAATAGAAAGAAAACGAATGATTGGCTTGAAAACAGATGAAGAAAATGGGGTTGAGTATTTAGGCACAGAGGTTGTAACGGCTTGATAATGGCTTGTTTTGCTGCTGGAAGTAAGTGCTTACTGTATTGTCAAGAGAACCCTAGACTGGTCGTGGAAATGAAGATTCAAAGTTCTCCAATGCCAAAGTTCTTTCAGTTTGTCCATATTCTGCAGGTTACTCCTTATTGAGAGAGATGCAAATCATATATGTGAGAGCATTTTTGCTGCACTGTTTATTTTTCTCTTCTTCATTATTTCAAAATTTTATTTATAACTTTTTAATTTTTATTTTCATTTTTTAACATCTGACACTGAACCAAACACTTCTAAGTTGCAAATATCAACTTTGACTTTCTGACAAGGGGATTTTAACACTAAGAATAATTTAAGTTTGAAGAAGGTTGCTTCAAAATTCAGAATGCAAAATTGGAAGAAACTTCAACCACCAATAATAGCAAATATTTCCGGCTCTATTTCTTTTTCATCATGTTAACCTGAAGACAAAGTTAAAGATGCATTAATCTTTCTGAACCATGATTAAAAAAAAAAAAAAAAAAAAAAAAAAAAAAAGGTTGCCTTCATTTCTTAATATGACACTAGGTAGCAACTAACATTGGTTAATAAATAAGCTGCAGCTTTTGTACTAGTTGAACCGGATACTTGGGAGTGTCTGATATGGTTATTTCTTAAACAATTTGTTTCTGTGCTGATCAAAGTCTTGCCATTTTTAACTTATTCCCCAAGCATATTTGCTAACTTCCCTGACCAAAAGAAACCAAAAAGGTGATAAATCAGATTCAGCTTTGAACTCTAGCCAAGCACAGCTTGCCAATTATGTCAGTCTACGCTAAATTACACTTGGTATGGGCTTATTGTGCTGAAATCATCAAGACACTTTATCTGAAACTAGTCATTGGATACAGTTTGAAAACCTGAATTAAGGAAAAGAAGAAAAGGAAGAAAAAGAGAAAAAAGGCTTCTAACATATCTGACCTAACTGCTTATTTGCCATTACAGAATCAATGCACTGGTGAATTTACACTAAATTCTATTATGCACTTCATTTTTTATTTTAGATTTCCATTTGTGAAGACTTAAAAGCTGGATCATACTTATCCTATTCATTAAATGCATGGGTGAAAAACAGCCACACTAAAATAAACATGCTTCCCTACTCCTTTTCTAAGAATACTAAAAAAATACTAATTAATACTAAATAAGGATAATAATTATAAAAATAATAATAATTTATAATTATTATAAAATAATAATAATAATTACAAACACTAAAGAATACTAAGATTGTGGACATGCAGTTGTCATGTCTGAGTTTAATTACACATTTGATCTGTTGTGAAATTTATTATTTGGTCTCTGGTAGAACAAAACAATTTTGAGCAAAAATATTCTGATGCTTGATAGCATTCAGAAAACTAGAAATTCAGAAAAACTTTTTCCTAGACATGTATAAACTTGAACCCTAGTCTGATAGCTCCAGAAGCAAGCTTCCAACTACTTAAATGTGCACACTATTCCTAGTCAGATGCTCAGTGTCAGCTGTAATTCCCTATGCTGTGTAGTCTTTGTATAAATTTTGCATGAAATTATGACCTGCTGTGCATTATGTATAACTGAGCTTTGTCTCATTCAATCTTTGCCCATTCTAATCAAGATTATTCTTCATTCTTTTGAAGGTGAAAAGAGTCCAGCACTGTTGGCTTTGCTGGATAGTTGAATATTCGAATAAATATGATTCCTAGCACTTTTTAAAAAGGGAAATAAACCTCCTTGCATTCTATCATCTTTCTTTTAGTAATTCTGAGGAAATGAGAATGTCAGGGGAAAAAGAATGGAAGGAAAGGGGGGGCAGAGAAAAAGTAGTGATGAGTTTTTTTTAAAACAAACAAACAAACAAACAATATATTTCTGAATAGTCAAGCATGGTGTTCATGACATCACGTTCCAAATAACTAGCCAAACAGGAATGGCAACCTATTCCGTTGATGGCCTTCATAGTCCAGTAAGCCTGGCATAGCTGGAAATGTCCTTGCCTTTATACTGAATGCAAAAAGAATATTGACTTTGCCTTTAAACCTCGTGGGGTATTACCATTCCTTCTTCCTTTCTTTAGTACTTGCACATTAGGAATAAAATCTTTCTCACTGAAGTACAGAGAAGCTTGGTCACTGACTTCCCTGGTATGCAGATATCTCATGGCTTTATTTGGTTTTGTTTCTAACTGCCGGAAAGAGAATATTGCTATTTAGAAAGAGACATTACCTGACAATCTTTCAAAGCGTTCTGTACTGAAGCCTGGTCTCCAATTCTCTGTTGCTTTTTCAGCTTCTTGTCTTGGGTTTCAAACCAAGATTTTAGGTACTGCACATTATTTTCATATTCTGTCCAAGATTCCTGCAGACTTTCCAACAGCTGGATCTGCAAAGAAATATGAGTGTATACTTCCTCATACAATTACCTCTAATGTTGTGTCAATTAAATAAATCAGTGAAAAACAATGCTGACCAGTGCCTTTCTCAGAATTCAGTAATGTTTTCTGAATTTAAACACAGTATATGTATTCAAATTGAAATATGCCTGTTATTTGTAAAGGAGTACATTAAAAATAAAATAAAATTCTGTTTAATTGAGGAATTATTCTGCGCAGATAAATTGTTCAAACATGATGACACATTGAAAAGAGCTAACACTTTAGCAGGAATTTTTTATGAAATGGCATTATTTTCAGACATAAAGGACCTCAAGACTTCCCAAATAAAATTAAGTATCTAAACATGCATTTTATATTTCTTGCTTATTATTCTGATAAAGCAGATGAATATTTATATTAACTCCTTTGTCAATTGACAGCTTTGAAATCACTTAGATTTTTCTGAAATGGGTGTTATTCACTGGAGAATGAGATAGTTTTTCTTTGAAAGGAAATATATGAGTTAAAAAAAAAAACAAAGCAGAATTTGAAAATGGCAGTGTTGACATAAAAGGCATTCACAGTACTTATTAAGTACATATTAAGACAAGCTTCACTCTAGGGAACGAGTCAACATAATTAGGTGTAATCTGAATTAGAACTGTTTAAGGATGTGATTGTCAATTGACCACAGTGACAAGACAGCTGCGAGCAAAGTGAGGAAAGCAAATAGCAGACTAAAGATCCCTAG